CCCAGGTACGATACGGTGTTTAATTGTGGAATGGTGATACCGTTGAAGGTTACTGGGGGACATGTGTCCTTTCGCAGGGTAAATGTTACATGCGTACTTTTACTTGGGTTTACGCGAATACGCCAGTTGGCTAACCATGTTTCAATGAGTTTAAGGTAATCAATTAAGTCTCTAGATGCCATGACTTTATTTTGATGAGAACCAAGGATAGCAGTGTTATGAGCATACGTAGAAGTCACAAGACGTGAGTTATTTGGTATGTCCGAAGTTAACAAAATGTAATATATTGGACCTAGAACAATATATTAGAACAATATTTTAGCGAGGTTATGAAAAAATCCACGAACAACAAATCTAGGAGGGCAATAGCCAGCACTTAGCACGACTTCATCTTCAATGAAGTTAATGCTTATTTTCGTAGCTTCAATGTGGGCTGTGAACAGCTGTTCTGGGACGTGGTGATTAATTCCTGAGTTAATTCGAAGTGGGGCATATCTACAGAATGATTCGTGAAGTATAAATTGAATCCAGGTACAGAAAAATTGTTCTTGCTAGATAGATGGATTTTAGATATTAGAAGAACATCAATAGTGTGGGACTTGAGAAAGTTTATGACTTCAAGTTTGTGCTGGCGAATGCCTTTGGCATTATTTGATTTCGAAATTTTACTATCTCTTACACTAAGCTTTGAGTAGATGCCAATAAAGTTTGTCATTAGTTGGGTGAGAATTTTTAGCATTGATTCTAGGTTTTGATTGATGGTTATTACATTTTCAGGAATTTGTTTAACTAAACCATTTATTATGCCAACAGACAAGATGATTGTAAAGCTTAACTTTACAAAAAACTTCAAAACTGAACTCGGCAATAAAAAGAATTTGGAAGGCTTTTCCAAAACCCAAGTAATAAAAGGAAACATGGTATACAGACGGCTCTCTCACCAATGAGGGAGATATGGCTGGTATTTATAGACCAGGTAAAAGATACTGGGGAGCACTAGGAATTAATGTTATCATCTTTCAGGCGGAAATATACACGATAGATAGATGCGCCAGTTTCAACCTTAAACGTAACTACCGGAACCGTAAAATCGCAATACTGACTGACAGCCAGGCATCTATAAGGGCACTCATATCCTACCATGTAACATCCAAACTGGTATGGGAGTACATTGACAAGCTGAATATACTCAGCTGGAACTATCAGGTGAACCTAATATGAATTTCGGGACATGCTGGTATCCAAGGCAATGAAATGAGAGACAAACTTCCAAGAAGAGGCACAGGCTCAAAAATGATAGGCCCAGAACCATTCTGTAGTCTTGGCAAAGAATATCTACCCACTCTTATTAATAGCGTAGAGGAAAAGGAAAGAGAACTCTATTGGGAAAGATTACCAGGACTCTCACAATCTAAAATGCTATTATCGACTTACAACGTAAAACGATCCAAAGATTGCAAAGCACAATCAAAAAAATAACCTAAGAACTATTACGGGATTCTTGACCGATCACAGTAGATCGAATAATCACCTATCGAAATTACGAATTCAATCCAACTCATACTGCAGAAAGTGTAGAAAAAAGAGAGAAATTGCATACCATATGCTTGGGAAATGCTTGGCACTGATGCACAAGCGGAAGAAACACCTTGGAGAATGTTTTATGGATCATGAGGATTCAAAAAATTAGACTTGGAGAAACACTTACCCGAGTAAGGGACACAATAGATCTTTCAGGTCGCAGTGTACAATACGTTCTTTTAATAATAATAAACCATTCTTTAAGACGGCTAAGTATGAATTAAGTGTATTAACTTCTTTTGAGATTGTTTGGTTCTTATAAACTGGATTTTGTTGAATTATATAACCATGAATGTTATGTCTTTATAAAACTGAAGTAAACCCAAACGATTTCGGAACGACATGAATCCTTCTTTTCTTCTTCACTTTTAATGAAGTTCAGAAAATTTGGTTGGTTGATCGAAGTGGTAGGACAGTGGATAACTTTACATTGACCTCAATTAACTACTACATTACTATACCCATAAGATACTAAATAGATCCATCCTGTCGAATTTAGATTATTTAATAGGTATTTCGTTACCACAGATAAAGAGTCTGATAAGCCGTTTAAAATGTTCTTCTCGAAAAACGTTTCTTCTAAACGCAAAATCGAGCATTCGAGGAGAAAATGGTTTATGGTTCTACTTCCTACCGAAAAATGCACAATTTTAAACGTTGCAGTATTCACATGATCAATTTCGATAAGTTCCCAAAATCTAGTCTAATTATAATTATAAGCACTTATTATAAGCAAGCTGGAAAAGTATAGGTAACTAATTCTCTTATCGGCCTCCAAGTAAACGTCAACCGGTACCCCTACGGACAAATCTACGAGAAGCTGTAGGAGCTTTATTGATATATTGACCGTAGATTAATTTTATGCAAACATTGCTTAAAATTCATATATTTGACTTTATTCTTTGCTAACCATTTTGTGTTTTCTTTAATTCACCAGTTCAATAAATAATTTGCTTCTGCTGTACCAGTAGGAATTTGAAAGTCTACAAACAGTTTTAATTTGGCGGGTAGCTAAGATAACGATAGTAGATTAAATAAAGCTCTTTACTTAATCTGAAATACAAATCAGTCAACAAGGACAACATAAAAGCCGCAGGCTATCAATGTCCCAGCATGACAATATAAGAGCCATCTGGATTGAGGATATTTGCTCTCCTAGAGAAGTGCTTATTTCATAGCAACACGAACGACTTTTATTTTAACATCCGAAATTAGGGTCTTAAAGAACAGTAGTATACTTTGAGGTAGAGCCAATCATTTTATTAATTTTATCTATTAACATGATTTTAAGAGTACCGCATTGACGGCATGGAATGTAAATCTAGTGGAAAATTTTTTGTTATTAAGTTAATCTACTTATCATTTAAAACTTAAGGAGGTGTAGGGAGTATGTTGTATATATTCCGTGGACATAAAATATTAATTTTGTTGAATCTGTTAAGAAAACTAAAAGGTTCCGCTACTTAACACTTGTAATGAGCGTATCGAATTGGTCGAGTGTAACGTAAGCATTTGCTAAATGAACTTAAATTTTTGAAAAATATAAATCTGTTTTCGAAAGAGTATATAATACTCAAGCACATGGAATCCATCTGTACAATAGTTCGATTTCAACTTGTATAGTTAGTACTAAACGAGAATAAAACTAAAAGTCAAAACGAACTACATTTTATTATTAGGATTCCTTATATTCAGCATAAAGGATAATATTTCTAATAATGGGATCTAATTAAAACATGTCACCAATTTCAGGCAATGGAGGTCCCAGCATAACAGCCGAAAGTAGTGCTTCTGTTTCATTTGATGGTGATTCGGCTGATTCCTCTGGAGGTGGAAACGCTGGTGCTTATGGAGGTAAGGATAAACAAAAAAGTTTAACTACTCTAAAGAAATAAAATATAAAAAAAATTCGTTTGACATCAGAATAAATAATGAAAAATGTACTCCGACATTCTTTTCGATTGACAGAAATTATTTTCAGGTATATTTCTATCAATATGGTACTCCAGTATTCCTATACGTCCTTAAACGACCAAATCTTCTGAGGTTATATACATTTAACATCATGCTATTTAATAGGCTCTTTACTTAACTTTTAAATTAACATAGAGAACTGTGCTGCATATTTCTTTCCATTCAAATTGATAAAACATTTAACAGTACTTTATTAGGTCATATAATTCAATAATTATATGGAAAGATAACTTTTCAGTGACCTTGAAGTGCATTAATAATTTGTATATAGTTGGCAACACTGAAAGATTATGACATTCAAGAAAAAATAATCATTAGTTGTTTCGTAATATTCAATAACCTTAATTAACTGCTGTATCACTAGAAAGCCTAAGGTACAGCCTAAATCCATCCTATCGAATTTAAATCATTTAATAGGTCTTTCGGTATTACCGACAAACAGTCTGATAAGCTCTTTAAAAAGTACTTCCTCTAAAGTATTTCGAAAATGGCACTAATTCCCTTAACGATTTCCAAGTGTACCTTAACCGGGCCCACAAGGATACATCTAGAGAAGCTTAGGAAGTGTAATTGGTTTAGTTAACCGTAGATTAATTTTATGAAAAATCTGCTTAAATTTCATATATTTGCTTATTCTTTGCTAACCATTTTGATAGTTTTGAGTTAACCAATTTAATAAAAATTTTTACACTGTACTTCGATAATAGTATTAATCTGCAGTTAACTAAAATATATAGATTACCTCGTTTTAATATCGGAATTGTTAATCTACTTAAGAAATTCTCAAATGAGCCACTAACATTTGCCCACGACACATAAGAACCCGTAAAGGATCCATTCCTAACTCAGAATGTATTATATTTAAAAGAATATATTTATATAATACATGTAGTCCCAATTTCGTTTATCACATCCATATATGTAGTAACCAATCAATCACTTTCTATGTTTCTTCTTGAAAATGCGGATGCAAAAATTATTCATTTATTTATTTATATGCATTATTCTTAAGTCTACAAATAGTTTCTTTATTGACCTAGCAGAGATAACGATAGTAGACTAAACGAATCCTCTTCACTTAATCTGAAATACCAAATCATTGGAAACGGACATCATAAAAAGCGGTATCAACACGTACGACTTTTATTTAACATTCCCAGTCTAGATCTTAAAAAAAAATTAATATACGACATAACCTAGTATTTTATTAACTTAGTAAAATCTTATGAAACTGATTATTTACTGATTATTAAGTTATGAAATCTTAAATCAGTAAAAAATTTTTGTTAATGTTACTAACTACTCATCAATTTCAATTTAAAGAAGCAAGTATATACATTATGTATATATATATACTTATATATATATATGTATATATATAAAATATGTTATGGCAAGGATATTTCTAATAATGGGATTTAATTAAAACCTATCATTATTTCCAGGTAATGGAGATGGTGGCTTAACGTTTGATGGTGGTGCACCTGGTTCTTCAGGAGGTGATGCTGCTGGTTCTCCTGGAGGTAAGGATAAAGGATAAGCTTTAACCATTCCATAGAAATAATATATTGAAAATATTTGGGTGACATCAATGCAAAAAATAATGAAGAATGTACTCCGACATTGTTACCGATTGACAGAAACTCTTTTCAGGTATATTTCTATCAATAAGGTACTCCAGTATTCCTATGAGTCCTTAAACGACCAAATCTTCTGAGGTTATATACATTTAACATCATGCTGTTAAATAGGCTCTTTACTTAACTTTTAAATTAACATAGAGAACAGTGCTGCATATTTGTTTCCAATCAAATTGATAAAACATTTAACAGTATTTTATTAGGTCATATAATTCAATAATTATATGGAAAGATAACTTTGAAGTGCATTAATAACTTGTATATAGTTGGCAACAAAACCTAAGATACAGACTAAATCCATCCTATCGAATTTAGATCATTTAATAGATTTTTCGTTATTAGCGATAAACAGTCTGATAAGCTCTTTAAGAAGTACTTCCTCTGAAGTATTTCGAAAATGGTACTACCTTCCTTAACGGTCTCCAAGTGTACCTTACCCAGGTCCCCAAGGATACATCTAGAGAAGCTTAGGAAATATAATTGGTTTAGTTGACCGTAGATTAATTTTATGAAAAATCTGCTTAAATTTCATATATATGCTTATTCTTTGCTAACCATTTTGATAGTTTTAAGTTAATCAATTTAATAAAAATTTTTACACTCTATTTCGGTAATAGTATTACTTTGCAGTTAACTAAAATATATAGATTACCTCATTTCACTATCGGAATTGTTAATCTATTTAAGAAATTCTCAAATTAGCCACCAACATTTGCCCACGACACATAAGAACCCGTAAAGGATCCATTCCTAACTCAGAATGTATTATATTTAAGAGAATATATTTATATAATACAAGTAGTCCCATCTTCGTTTATCACATCCATATATGGAGTAACCAATCAATCACTTTCTATGTTTCTTCTTGAAAATGCGGATGCAAAAAGTATTTATTTATTTATTTATATGCATTGTTCCCAAGTCTAGAAACAGTTTTTTTATTGACCTAGCAGAGATAACGATAGTAGACTAAACGAATCCTCTTCACTTAATCTGAAATACCAAATCATTGGAAACAGACATCATAAAAAGCGATATCAACACATACGACTTTTATTTAACATTCCCAGTCTAGATCTTAAAAAGAAATTAATATACGGTATAACCTAGTATTTTATTAACTCATTATTAACATGATTTTAAGAGTACGTATTGAGTTATGAAATTTTAAATCAGTAAAAAATTTTTGTTAATGTTACTAACTACTCATCAATTTTAATTTAAAGACGCAAGTATATATACTCAAGCACATGGAATCCATCTGTACAATAGTTCGATTTCAACTTGTATAGTTAGTACTAAACGAGAATAAAACTAAAAGTCAAAACGAACTATATTTTATTATAATGATTCTTCCTATTCAGCATAAATATATGTTATGCCAAGGATAATATTTCTAATAATGGGATTTAATTAAAAACTATCATTAATTCCAGTTAATGGAGATGGTGGCTTAGCATTTGATGGTGGTGCACCTGATTCTTCAGGAGGCGATGCTGCTGATCCTTCAGGAGGTGATGCTGCTGGTTCTTCAGGAGGTGATGCTGCTGGTTCTTCAGGAGGTGATGCTGCTGGTTCGTCTGGAGGTAAGGATAAAGGATAAGCTTTAACCATTCCATAGAAATAATATATTGAAAATTTTTGGGTGACATCAACGCAAATAATGAAAAATGTACTCCGACATTCTTATCGATTGACAGAAATTCTTTTCAGGTATATTTCTATCAATATGGTACATCAGTATTCCTATGAGTCCTTAAACGACCAAACCTTCTGAGGTTATATACATTTAACATCATGCCGTTTAATAGGCTCTTTACTTAATTTTTAAATTAACATAGAGAACTATGCTGTATATTTTTTGCCAATCAAATTGTTAGAACATTTAATAGTATTTTATTAGATCATTAGGTTCTACATCATCTTATCAAACACAATTGCTTTAAGAAAAATAGAAAATTTATAATTTGAAATAAAATTCTTATTGCTTCTAATATAAATTCAGGCAATCAAATTTTTGTCTGCAATCTACAATCACAGAAACATAGTAACTCCCACCATCATAAAAATAATCTGCTAGTTCATAATATTGCAAATCTTTTCAAAATGGATTATTATTTACTTAGTACTTAACGATAACAAAACTAACAGAATGAACAAGATTTTATTATAAGTAGGTATAATGTTTATGTTATGATACTGTAATAATGCAAGGATATTGTTTCTAGTTATAGGATTCAATTAAATCAAATCACTAATTCCAGGTAATGGAGATTCTAGCTTAACTTATGGAGGTGGCGCTGCTGGTTCATATGGTGGTGGTTCGGCTGGTTCTTTTGGAGGTGGAAGCGCTGCTTCTTATGGAGGTGCCTCAGCTCACGGAACAGCGCAACTTGGTGTTGGCATTGGAGCTGGTTCCGGTGGAGGTTTTGGTGTAGGAGTTGGACGCTAAAACCTTTGAATCGAAATGAATTTAATGTTATATTATAATAAATGCCACAACAAATTAATTAATAAATTCTTTTATAGCTTTCATTAATTATGATTTTGCTTTAAGATGGTGGACAGTTATTTTTTCTTTATTAACATTGTTTCCTAGAGCACTAAACAAACAAAAATGCTGTCTGTACCTAAGAGTCCATAATTTATTTTTTTAGGTCAACTTATGGCATATCCGTATACATTGACTAAGACTTTTAGTTATTATTGGATCCTAAGTGTATCTGATTATGATTAATTTACTTCTTCATTTTCTCTCGGTTGAAAGGACATTTGAAATGTAAAGAAAATTTTAATAATGAACGGTAATAATAAATGATATCAAGTGTGATATCTCTTCTTATTTCCTTTAGAGTAGGTAACATTTTTATGGCCTACCAAATTGTTTTGCTATGGAAGTAACTACACAGTAACAAGCAGATTTAAACTAAAGATACTATCAGGAGCGGTACTACTCTGTCAGTTGAAAGTACTTATATTTACTATGCTGTCTTATCATGCTAACAAAAAATAATAAAATTATGTCTTAATACTTACAATATGGTTGAAAAATACAACTTCCATGTTAGAAATTTTTTTTTTTTATTTTATATATAATTGTATTCTATCTAAAACTAATTCGATATTTCACAAATTTTTAATAACATGATTAACATAAATGAGAGTTGTGCTGCGTATGTGCCCTTTGAAACATCGCTATGAAGACCTTATTTCAGTTTTAAGTTGAAAAAGGTCAAGATCTTTTCAGTCTTGTGAATAGTTAAGGGTGGGTCATTAGATTTGTAGTCAAATTGTTTGAATGCGATCTAATACGATTAGCGTATGCGGCAGCGATGCTTTTCGCTTCCTCCTTAACTAGTGGTATATTAAGGTCACTATGAATTTATGAATTTGTGATATACCACGGAGCGTTCGCTATCATTTGCAGAGTCTTAGATTGGAATCTTTGTAATATTTCAATATTTGAATTTGAAGCTGTCCCCCACAGTTGGACGCCATATGACCAAACAGGTTTCAAAACACATTTGTAGAGAATGATTTTATTTTCCAGAGTAAGAGAGGAGTATTATATATATATATATATAAATAACCAAGACATATTTCTTAATTGAATAACAAGTGATTTCCTTTTATTGAATATGTGCGTTTTCCACGTCAGACCTCTGTCTAGATGAATTCCGAGGTATTTTGAAGCAGTTGATTGTGGTACCACAATATTGTTGAGCTTTACTTCCGGACAAGTTGCTCTTCTTAGTGTGAAAGTGACATGAGATGACTTGGACTCATTTGCTTTTATACGCCAACGCCTAAGCCAAATTAAAATGTCATCGAGACGCCTTGGCCTTTCTGCATTGCGACGAGCTTTATCTATTGTGGATCCCTTTGTATTTAGTCCTCTAGTATCTCGAGGAATCGAACCAAATCTTTCGGAGGGAGTTTTTGAAGGTCTTCATCCTTCAGTTAATATGCACCTAATATTTTGTTTCTCATATGGCCTATTGCATCACAGTTGGTGATCTACGGATTCTTTCCTATCACCACAGAATCAGCAAATATTTATGTCGGATATACATATTTTGTATAGGTGTTTGTTACAGGCGGCGCACAGTGTGACAAAACTATATTTTAGGAAAATTTCATTTCAATATCTCTACTTGTTCCGAAATTATCAAATTTTGGCCGACTAGTTTCTGTTTTATCACTCTATGCGTCTTGAGATATTTTAATTATTTATTAAAGCAGTTTAAATGAAATTCCAATAAAGAATTTATCTTAATAAGAAATACCCACACGTTATATATATATATATTTATATTGAATTATAAATCACAAAAAAATTTATTTAATTAACAAAACATGAAAATTAAAATAAATTTAGTTGTAAATTTTTTTAATTTATTTATTAAGCGGTTAGTTAAGATATAAGAACTTCTCCGAAGTAAAAACAAATCCACTTTTGAGTACCGTAAAACCTAATCAACACAATAGGCTCAAAGCAATATGTCCTGACAACACTTTTTTGAATCAACTATGGTTATATAAAACTGAACACCGTTTTTTGTCATCAAACGGTGTCGACACTCATGTATCGGGCAACAGTAATCCGATTACACGGTCGAAAATTTTACTTTAAACTCTAAACCCTGTAAACTTTTTTAAGGTTTAAATCAATATTTTTAAACCCTGAGGTTGACTTTTTAAACCTACTGAAGTTGATAATCCGTAATATATAAATAAGAGAATAACTCTCGAAGTTGAATGCTTAAACTTTAAAGTTTAAATCGCTGAAAATAAACTCCCTGGGTTGATATATTTTAGCGACCGTACTTAAACATGCTCACATTCATGAGGTGTTATTCAAGCAAAATTTTTTAAAAATAACGGTGTTTACGCACGCTGTAAGTGTGTTCCGCAAGCTGTAAGTGTATTAGTGCAAGTTTTTGGGTGACAGACTATCATTCACAACGTATTGGCTAGAAGCTGAATGATGTGGTCACCAAAATTTTGGTGAGCACGCCAAAATATTGGTTGCGTGTCATTCAAAAGTGCAGACTATAACTTTTGAGTGTCATTCATCGATTTTTTCTCTTGAATGGCCCTTTAAGGTTGAGTTTTTAGACGCCAGAGTTTTAAGTTAGCAAAGATATATATTTCAATCGACGTCGTCACAACAATAAATTTACTATTACAATAATTTCCTTGGGTGTAAACTTTATCAACAACACTCAGCATTTTCCTTTGGGTGTAAACACAAAATTTGGGTTTTTGCTTTATATGTAATGAATTCGAGTTGAGCTACACACCGCAATAACAACCGAAGTCCCGTTAGAAGTAACCAGTATAAAAGGCAACAAAAAATCGAACAAAGATGATTGTTGCAGCACTTAGAACAGTGCGCATCGCAGCAAGTGCATGGGCAGTTGATCAAAGGCCACGGAACCGAGCATTACACAGCACTACAGGTAATATTCAACAAGGTAACTAAGAAATTTATTAACATTTATTCCCAACCTAACAGCGTAGCCCAGTCGGTAACGCTGATTCCCAGCAACGTAGCCTAGTCGGTAGCGTTGATTCCCAACCTAGCAGTGTAGCCCAGTCGGTAACGCTTATTACCAGCAACGTAGCCTAGTCGGTAACGTTGGATATCCTTCCTAATACTAATCGAGGTTTCTTATTACAGGAATTATAGTAATTCTCAATATTGGTAATAAATTTTATTAGTAAATAAGTATTAAATATAAATATTGTAAAAATACATAAGAATAGAAATAAATAATAAATTAATTAAAAATATCCCGCTTTTAAAATTATTATACGACGAGAAGGTTTAGGGTTATAAACAAATTTTCTTGTAACAACCCTGGGATCCGTCGAGCGAAACCTCGGCGGAAGGGTTCATTACAACCTTTTGAAATTACAATTAAGACCAAAAGGTTTCTATCAAGTTTAAGTTTTCAAGTCAGGAATTTTAATTGCTGCGTCGTATTGTTACAACAGTTGACAGTTGTGTTTACATCATACCTTGGTTTTTCCACTTTTTGCTCAGAAGCGATGCGCAAATGCAAAAGACATCAATTGTTTGTGATCGTTTGGTAAGTGCATACATATGTAGTATAAAGCATGCGGGAGATTTCTTAAAGAGTTTTTTGTTAAAGAAAACATATTTAAATATATTAAATTACAAAAATTTGTAATGAGACTTGTATAAATATGAAGATTTATTAAAACCTGGAAAATTTTAAGAGAAGATTATAACATAAAAATGAAACAGAATTTTCAATATAATACCGGAATCAACATTTTTTCGGACCGCACCGGTACAAAATTGCCAGAAGTTATAATTATTTGTTTGATAAATTAGTTTGTTAAATCAATAGGAAATAACCCAATAAATCTATCAAACGCTATAAATGACTGTACTATATCCCCAGCGGTATTTTTTCCTATTAGCTTGCAAAAATATTCTTAACCAATCTATTTTAAGAAGTTGAACATTTCCTAAAAAACGTCAAATTGACCCATTTCTTAGACGGTTTGAAAACGATATAACTATCGATGATGAAAGTATAAGGCTCATGGTCAGAACTTTGGTAGATTTAGTAATAAGCAAATTTTTGGATTACCCGATCAAGAATAATTGTTAAATCACTTATCGGACTAATTCAAAGTATTGTGGAACAGTAAGAAAACAAAATAATCAAAAGAAATTTTGTTTTTAAAAACTTCGTTTGCTTCCAATTCACTTTTTGTTTCTTCCCATTAGGAAATTTTTTTCGACCCTGATAATAATACAGGTTGCTATTAAAGTCAACTAAAAAAACGTAACTTCAAAAGATTCTTCCTTTATAAAGCATGAGATGGAAGATGCAGAAGAACCGTGTGTTAAAACAACAAGTGCGATATTAATTCAATTGGGATTATCAAAAGAAAATTTGATTTTGTTTAAGGTTATGGAAATTCACAGCAAAGAAAGAAGTTATTCAAACAGAAAACTAATATAAAAAATATATTTCCATTCTATTTCTTCGATCCCGAACTGAATAGTAAAGTACATGTCAAAATATGAAATGAAATTCTTATAAGAGTTAACAAAAGCTTGACAAGACATAGACAAAAAAGTGTCAACAGGTTTAGCATCAAAGGGGCGTGATTTAGATCGCCTTCACGTGATGCACCCTGGGTAACATCAAATGATCTATCTTCCTCTCCAGACACTGTCCCTTTCATGGGCTCCAGTATCCGTTGGCAACGACCGTTTTTCTGTTTTGATCGCCTTGGGCTGGTGGCTACAGACTTCTGGACCTAGTTGTATTCTGACACGGAAGCACCGGAGTGCCACCCGTGTGTGATGGGCTTCAGGCTAAGTCTGTAGCTGCCTCCGTCCCGTTAAAACCCTGGCAGGCCTCACAGTGCTTTTTGCATCCGTCACCATTAAGTTGGTCGTGTAGATTCGGTTGTAGCTTAGCTCCCGATTAGCACCAATCTGGCTCTGAGCACTTGTTTCCCATAAGGACTGGTGCCAACCCTTGCTTGGCCTCCCTGCATTTGTATAGATAACCATAGGATCTTCGTTGGTGACTACACCCACGGGTTTCAGATAGCGGCTTTGAGTGGGGACCCATCTTCCAACCCTTTGAGGGGATGCTCAAGCCTTATTAGGCAAGCGTCTGTTAATCCGCCTAGACCACTTCCTCAGACGACAAAGTCATGTAAGGCTTCGGGTCGACCACCCTCAGAATCTACAAAAGCGACTCCCAAGTCGTCCGACAACAACCTTCTAAGGTTGTCTCTTCAGATCCGGCCTCTGATGGCAGGGCTGTGGTAGCTGATACCACTATCGAAGACGGGGTTAGTTGATAATATCAGCATCCTTTCCTCCGACGATGAAGGCAGTATTTTGTCGTCATCCGTCATCCTCATTAATGTCCGATGAGGACAAGCTGAACAACACCGTGGTCGAAAACTCTTAGGTATGTTGAAGGTCGTGCAAATTAATCTCCAACACTCTAAAACTGCCTCGTCAGCACCAATCCTTCGCCTAACTGAAAAAGAAGAGGACATCCTGCTAATTCAAGAACCTCGAATTATTAATAATCGGGTTTGCGGTATGAGTGCAAACGGATACCGTATAATATTCGTAGAAAGTCCAGGTAAACCTATATCTTGTATTGTTCAAATTTCAATAAATTTTCTCAAAAATTCTTATCTTAAGAAAACTCTGCGGCCTTTACTATTTAGTTATTTTTTTTATTTTATTTGTTAGTCTTGAACTAACCAGTCCAATAAATATCCTCACACAGTACTTCGATAGTAATATTACCCTACAGTTAGCTTAAATGTATGGCTTAAGTCATTCTAATTTCGGAATTATTAATCTTCTTGAGAAATTCTCAAATTAGTTATTAAGGCTTACCCACGACTTGTAAGAACTCGTAAAGGATCCATTAATCACTCAGAATAAATTATATTTAAGAGAATATTTAAATATAAATGAATACGATTATTACAATATATTTATATAATACAAGTAGTCCCATTTCCGTTTATCACTTCCATATAAAGAGTGTAACCAATCAATCATTTTCTATGTTTCTTCTTGGAAATGCGGATATAAAAAGTATTCATTTATATATATATATTATTCTCAAGTCTAGAAACAGTTTCTTTATTGACCTCACAGAGATAACGATAGTAGACTACATGAATCTTCTTCACTTAATCTGAAATACCAAATCATTGAACAGGGACAACATAAAAAGCCGCATATGGAATATTGTAAGTTCAGCTCGCGTCCCACTGCCAATTAAAAAGCAACTGATTGACGTATATTTGTCTCTTAGAGAAATTGATTATTTTTATATCATTAATTCAGTACTAACATAATTTTGAGACTATAGATTGAGTTATGGAATCGTAAATCAGTAAACAATTTTTGGTTTATATAACTAACTATTCATCAACTTCAATTTAAAGAAGAGAGTCTAGAGAACTTTTAGTCAATTTTTTGTGATATAAAATAACAAATTTGTTAAATCTGTTAAGAAAACTAAAAGGTTCCGCTAGTTAACATTTGTAATGAGCGTATCGAATTGCTCGTGTGTAACGTAAGCGTTTGCTAAGTGACCTTCAATTTCTAAAAACTATAAATCTGTTTTCCGAATAGTATATATACCCAAGCAAACGTGATCTATCTGTACAATAGTTCGATTTTATTTTGTATAGTTAGTACTAAACGAGAACAAAACTAAAAGTCAAAATGAACAAGATTTTATTATTAGGATTCCTCCTATTCAGCATAACGACATGTTAGGATAAGGATAATATTTCTAAATATGGGATTCAATTAAAGCATTTCACTAATTACAGGTAATGGAGATTCTGGCGCAACATATGGAGGTGGTGCTGCTGGTTCATATGGTGGTGGTTTGGCTGGTTCTTATGGAGGTGGAAGCGCTGGTTCTTATGGAGGTGCCTCAGCATATGGAGACGCGCAACTTGGTGTTGGCGTTGGAGCTGGTGCCGGTGGAGGTTTTGGTGTGGGAGTTGGACGCTAATCCCATTGAATCGAAATTAATTTAATGTTATATAATGCCTATATATACATTAATTATTTGAATACCACAGCAAACTAATTAATAAATTCTTTTATAGCTCTCAATAGTTATTATTTTGCTTTAATATGGTGGACATTTATATTATCTTTATTAACATTGCTTCATAGACTTTTGAACAACTGTCTATACATAAGACTCATTTTCTTAACTTGACTTATGGCGTGTCGGTTTAAAACAAAACTAATAAATTTTGACAACTTTGCGGTTTTTAGTGCAGATACTCTTATTGGATCCTAAATGTCACTGATGATTTTAATTAATTTATTCCACGGCACAAAACAGATTTAAATCAGAATCTTTCTCAACGAAAATACTTTTGTTTACTATATTGTCTTATCATGCCCAAATAAAATGAATAAATTATGTCTCACATAACTTAATACCTTCAATATAGTTGAAAAATAGAACTTCTATATTAGAAATGTTATAAAAGATATTGATGAATGAAATCAATCGACTAAAGCTTGGAAATGAAAGTTGCTTTCAGCAATAGTTCTCAAATCGTTGTAGGGGCAGACTGCTTTATTGTCACTTTGGGCTACAATTTTACTGTCATTGGTTTATCTAATGAAATATATATTAAAATAAGAAATATATATTATATAGAAGATCACTCCAACTGTAATAGTTCACTGACAGCAGCTGCGTAGATAGAGTACAACATGTAGTTTCAAAAGAAGTTTCTCCATTCACAAAGATCTCCAAAACTTACACCAATCATTTTCATGAAGTGTTACGTTTATTGTGTATATATATAATTAATGGATAAACAAGGTTATAGATGACTTTAGAAATACACAGATATCTTTAGTTTGCGGCATATTGAATACTATTTGTAGTACGATGTGTGTATTTGAATAGTAATAGCCGATCCTGCATTGTTTGTGATAACATCTGAAAATGATTATTTAGCCTTATAATGTTATATATTTTTAAAAGAACTTATTTACCCAAAACCACAAAATATAAGTTATTCCACATTGTAATCAAAAATGACCGATTAATCCAACATATTTTTATTCTCTGATATTCTTTGATGCACTAGTTCCAAAATAAATAGCTCTAAATAGCTCTATGGGTGAATTTCTCATTTGTTTTCGTTTTGTTTTGTTTAAAAATAATAGAATGCACTATTAAATTTTGTTCAAAAAAAGCATTGAGAAATTCATATATTCTAAGTGGCGCTTTCACTCATCCTCACAGACCACACATTTCACTAGTTCCTTTGAACTAATTCGTGTCCTAGTGCCTAACAATAGTTGTCTCTGTTGGAATTTATCAAATGCAGAATACATTTGTGTATAATCACAACTGTCGTTATTTATTAAATTAAATTATGTAGGACTAAATAAAAGCTTATTAAAACTTGACAAAATATCTATATATGTGTAATGTTATTAACATTGTGGTAGGATTTAACTTCAACACTCCTCCTCAATGTTTATAACATAAAATAATATACTTCATTTTACTACAATATAAAATACTAACTTATAATATATACAATTTCATCAATTCAATAATTTTTATAAATATCATTCATCATTCATTATTTTAATCCAAGAGCCATAGTTAATTTACAATGCTTAATTTTTTGTAAGTTCTTGGTAAAGATATCTGCCAACATTATATCAGTTGGACAGTATTGTAAATCAATCTCTTTATTACTATATGCTTCACGAACAAAGTGATATTTTATATCTATGTGCTTACTGCGAGCATGATATACAGGATTTTTGATTAAATTCATAGCACTCATACTGTCACTATTTATCATAATTGTTCCAATATCACTAAGTCCTATTAGTTCTGACCAAAGTTTTTTTAAATATATAGCTTCTTTGGCTGCTGCAGAAATCGCCATATACTCCGCTTCTGTGCTGCTCAGAGCCACTGTAGTCTGTTTTTTGCTCTCCCAACTGAATACACTTCCTGCCAAGATAAACGCATAGCCCGTATACGATTTTCGATCAGTTGCATCGCCTCCCCAATCTGCATCTACATACGCTTTAATTGCTGCATCACTCTTATTGTAATGCAATTTCATGTCGATGGTTTTGCTAAGATATCGTAGAATATGCTTTGCTGCCGTTAAATGCTCAGAGTGGGGATTACAATTTCTCTGGGCTAGCTTGCATACTGAGTGCAATATATCAGGTCTTGTATTGATAGCAATATACATTAGTGAGCCAATCAATGACTGGTATTCCGTTATATCAACTTTATTACAACTTTCATTTATGTAATGTACCTGAAAGTTTGTCTCAAGAGGGGTAGAGACTGGGCGACACACACTCATACGATTTTTCTTTAAGAGCTGCAATACAAGTTGTTTTTGACTAATAGTCAAAGCACCAGTTGGATTTTCACGCTCCACTTCCATACCCAGAAAATGATTTATAGGACCCTTATTTACTATCTGAAAAATATTAGAGATTTTCTTTATTATTGCGCCCAACTCACCTAGGTCTGTACACACAAGTAACAAATCATCCACATACACTGCGATGATATTCAAACATTTATTGTTATTTTTTGTGTATACACATGGTTCGCTTCGGCATGAGACAAATCCTATTTTCTCCAATTCCTCATTCCATCTGGAATGCCACATTCGGCCTGACTGTTTAAGTCCATATAGAGATTTTTTGAGCTGAAGCACTTTATTATCGTCTTTCTCGAATAATTTCGGTTGCTCCATAAAAATTGTTTCTTCGAGATTACCATTCAAATATGCTGATGAAACGTCAAGGTGATGAACATGAAGTTCATATTCTACTGCTATAGCTAAAATCATTCTTATGGTTTCGTATCTCACTACCGGTGAAAATATTTCAGTATAATTAACACCGTACTTTTGACTACAGCCCTTAGCGACCAATCGTGCTTTGTACCACTCGATGTTTCCAGTTGCATCGAATTTCACTGCAAAAACCCATTTACAGCCGATAGCTTTTTGTCCTGTTGGTAGCTTCACCGCGTCCCATGTATTATTTTTTACCAATATATCATACTCCTCCTGCATAGCGCGTCTCCAGTAAGCGGACTGTTCGCTCTGTAGAGCTTCGAAGACTGTTTCTGGGACTACTATATCAGTTGACATCTTGACTGGAGCTACTAAGTTTACAATATCACATTGTGGCCTTGGTCTTAAATTATAACCAACTCTTGTACCAGTATAGTCTTCGGATTCTGGAACATCAGGTATATCATCTTCCTGTGGTGTATTCATTTGACTACTTTCTTTGTTGGCAGTTCCTTTCTCCTCACTGTTTTTGAGATTTTTAGTTGGAATTTCAAATTCATTATCTGGAATATAGCGGTTAAGATTACTTGCACTTAATAAAGGTAGGAGATCAATATTGCTATTATCGTTTAAATTTTCAACGAAATACACATCGCGACTTACAACAAGCCTTTTATTTATTTTGTCATATAGCCGATATGCTTTCGATTTTTCTGCATAGCCAACCATAATCATTTCTTTGCCCTTTGGTCGAAATTTCTTTTTCTCAGTTTTATCAAGAGCTATCGCCAAGCAACCAAATACTCGCAAATGACTTACCACAGGTTTCTTTTCCCACCAAATTTCATATGGAGTCAAGTTCTTTATTGTTCTTGTTGGTGATCGGTTTCTTATATATGCTGCAGTGTTAATTGCTTCACCCCAGAAGTTCTCGTCGACACCTGCGTTTAAGATCATACTCCGTGCCATCTCTACTAAAGTTCTGTTGACTCTTTCAGCAACGCCATTCTGTTGTGGAGTATGAGGCACAGTCAATTGTCTAAGAATACCCTTTTCATTTAAATAATTATTAAATTCAGTATTTACGTATTCAGTGCCATTATCACTACGTAACATTTTAATTTTTTTTACCTGTTTGGCATTCAACCATGCTTTTAAATGATTTGAAAACATTTAAAACTTCTGATTTTTGCCTTATAAAATAAACAAAAATATACCGCGAGTTGTCGTCTACGAAAGTAACAAAGTATCTGGATCCTCCGATTGAATTAACGTTTATTGGTCCACAAACATCACTATGGACTAAGTCTAAAATATTTTTCGTTTTACTTTGAGACGATTGAAACGGTTTAATGTTGCATTTGCATTTAAGGCACACTGTGCAGTTTATATGTTTTTGATCTGAATCAAATTTTAAACCCAGCACTAGTTGTTTATTTTTTAATTCGATTAAACTATTAATATTTAAATGTCCGTACCGTCTATGCCACAGAACTAAATTATCATTTGCATTATTATTAAAAAACAATTGCGTTTTCAAATCGATTGTTTTGTTTAATATTTCACAAAAAAATAATTGTTTTATTTGCTTTGCTTTTAACACAGTTTCACCGTTTTGATCATAAATATACGCGTTATTTTTATCGAATGTCACTTTGTAACCATTGTTTGCTGCCTTGCTTACAGAAACAAAATTACATTGCAATACCGGAATATACAACACATTTTTTAATATAAGTTCACCCATGTGACTTTTTATTCTCACGTTACCACGTCCTATAGCTTTGAGAAATTTATTACCTGCAAGCATTATTTTTTCACTACACTGCTCAAAATCTTCAAACATTTCACGATGCGCGCACAAATGAGAAGTTGCGCCACTATCCAAGCATCTAGTACCGTGTTTTGACTAACTCCAAAAACAGAAAAAAAATGATTTTGAATATTCTCCAGAAACTTTTTCAGTTCTCTTAACAGAAGTTTCTCTTGATCTGCATTCTGCAGCGAAATGGCCTTTCTTCCCACATTTGTAACATTTAAAGTTACTCTTTTTTCTAAAATTTTTATCTCCTTTACCTCCGCTATATCTTTTGGTGTGCTCGTTGTTGGAATATTTATGGCTTGATGTAGCAACTAATGCTTGTACAGTACCATCTGCTTCGACTGTTTCATTATGTTTTCTCCGCTCACTTCCTTCAAATAATTTTGTTTTCAAAGCACTAAGCTTTGGAAGCTGATCTCTTGTTTCTAACGCAACAACAAAGTTTTCATAACTTTTTGG